AAAAAAAGTTATTCTGCAAAAACTGATTTAGATTATGGAGAAAATTGTACCAAAAGGGATTTAGATCAAGATATTTATGAAGTAAAAAAACTTCAATTTTTAAACGAATTCCTTTCATCTGACGTTAAAAGAAATGTAATTCCGGAACAAACTATGGGGGTTATGATTGACAACCTCTGTTATTTTTAACAGGTCTGTTATTTTATAATTACAGAAATTACAACCTGTTCACAAATAAAGTGTCTGTTAAAAATAACATTATTTGTCCATCATAAACCCTTTTGTCACAGGCAGATAGCAGGGTTTGGCTTGAAATTCGTAGAAAAATTATTAAGGCCTCACACTTTAAAGCAGCGAGTACTAGACGAATTACTACTTTATGTGAGCCTTTAGTCAAAAGGATTATTTACCAAACAACAGTCAATGCTGCTCCTATTTCTCATGGCAGAAAGTATGAAAAACGGCACTTTTCCAGCTTCAAGGGCAGGAAAATATAGTGTTTAGAGATTGTGGAATTTTTATTGACAAAAAATATCCATATTTAGGTAGGTAACGATCAGTTCACATTTTTACTCACATCTCAACTATAACATATCGCAAATTAGTTCATTTTAAATGAAAATAATAATTTTTAAATTTGTAGGAGATGAATTAGTGGTTGAAATAAAATGACCATACGCTGCATATCAAATGCAGGTACAAGAGGTGATTAAATTGAAAAAAATACTCTTTTGGATTTTTAATAAAGACACCAATAATTTTGACATTAATATCCACCATCAATGGTATTATCAAATACAAGGCCAATTGCATATTACAGGACGAAAAGGATGTATTTTTGGTTTATGGACAGGTCCCAATTATTAAAGTGGATTATATAATAAAAAGAGACAATTTCTGGTGTAAAAATATGGAGGAGAAATTAAAAATTTTTTATATAAACTGTATGTTGCCAGAATTGGTAGATCCAAGACATAATCGGGGAATGTCATTAAGATAACCTGATTACATCTTAGAAGCTATTAAAAAATTAAAAAATAGAAAACAAAAATAATTAGCTCCAAAAAGTCAAATAACATTAATAGTAAGATGTTTCTACAAAGCCGCTATTTATTCTAAAAGTATTTTTTTTTTTTTTTTTTTTTGAGAGCTTCGACTGCTAAGGCCATTAGCTCTGTAGTATTATTCAACGTTCGTGGAGTTATATTTTCTTAAAAAGACCACTCAATTTCATAAAGGTTAGTAAATGTTGTATTGACTCTTTTTCATTTTTTAATGCGATTTTCATTTCAGGGGATACAATTCCACTCTGGCGCCTGTAAGGTTCGTAAATTGGGCAGGTGAAAATATGTTGGACTGTTAGGCGAACTCTACATGTTTCACATCTTCGTCTCGCTAAACCCGCTAGGAGTTACAAGTGTGTAAGGTTAGTATGTCCTATTCTAATTCTACACAGTACTACTTGCTCTCGTCTGGATATATCTTTCGGGTAGATCCATTTTTTGATGGAAGGTTTGATTCTCTTTAGTTGTCCGTCATACCTATCCCATTGTTCTTGCCATATATTTGTTAAATTTTGTTTTATAGCTTTTTTAATATCATCTAGGGGAACTGGGATACCTTCGTCTACTAAACCAGTAATAGCATGCTTTGCCGCAGAATCTGCTAAAACATTCCCGACTATATTTACGTGACTTAGGATCCACATGATTGTAACTTCTTTATTTATGGATTTTAAGTAAGTATAAGTTTCTATTATTTTAATTGCCCATTCATTTTGTGTGAAGCGATTCTCCAAGATTTTGATAGCGCTCAAAGAGCCTACACAAATGAGATATCGCGAATTTTCTTGAAAAGAAAAATATAGCATTGCCTGCCATATTGCGTATAATTCGGCTATAAAGATGCTGCACATTGGATTAAGCGTCCAGTAGTGGGATTCATTGCTTACGACTAAAGCGGCACCAACTCCATTTTCTGAGCGAGATCCGTCTGTGTACATATTTAGGTATCCTTGGTACCTTTGGATTTGCTCTAAAAAAAAAGACTGATAGATTATAGGTGAAGTACCTTCTTTTTTCCATTTACTCAAAGACAGATTGATGTTTGGAATCTTCCTCAACCATGGAGCAATAGTTTGGTCGTAATATTTTTTAAATATGTTACTTTCAAGTTCTAAAGAATATTTGGTAGCTGTCTCTAAATATCGGATGTTTACCGGTTTTGTTGAAGTTGGCCTATAAGTGTTTTCCATGTTAATAAAATACTGTCGATTTAAGTGGGTTGGGATGGATTGTACTTTTGCTCCGTAAGTAAGTACATTCAAATCCCTTCGTATTCTCACAGGTATAGAGGAGGATTCAGAAAAAATAGCTTCTATTGGACTAGTTCTAAAGGATCCAGTTGCTAGACGTATTGCAGTGTTCTGAATCCTGTCGAGAACTTTTAGTTTTGAGGGTCGAGCTGACCCATATACGGTGCTGCCGTAATCGATTTTGGACTGTACTAATGTTTGATACATTCTAAGTAGAATTTCTCTATCAGAACCCCAGTTAATGCTTGATATGCATTTCAAAATATTAATGACTTTTTGCTTTTTGCTTCTAAATATTGTATATGTGACGCCCAATTCAGTTTCTTATCAAAAATGATCCCTAATAATTTTATTTGCTCCTGGCACGTAATTCTGTTACCTCCTAAATGTACTACAGGGTCGAGATGTGGTGTTCTTAATTTGAAAAAATGTAACATATGCGTTTTTTCAGCTGAAAATTTAAAGCCAGTTAATTTTATAGATTCTTCTATTCTACTGATTTCCGTCTGGAGATTGTGTTCGAGGGTTTCCATGGAGTGGTTTCTGCTGAAAATGGTAAGGTCGTCAACGTACAATACGGACTGAATATTTGGTGAGATGTTACAAACAAGATGGTTAATGGCAATTGAAAAAAGTGTTACACTAAGAACCGATCCCTGTGGGATTCCATTTTCCATGGTTCTCTCTGTTGATTCCCAGTTCCCGATCCGCACTGAGAAGGTTCTGTTATTAAGAAAAGAGGCTATGACTTTTGGTAAATTTCCCCGAAATTCCCATTCATACAGTTGTTTTATAATAGCATACTTCCAAGTTAGGTCATAGGCTTTTTGTAGATCCAGCATAACAGCTACAATATGTTGACGTTCTTTAAAGGCTTCTTGTATCTCCATTTCGAAGGCACTAAGGGCATCTATTGTAGAGCGGTTTCTACGGCATCCTACTTGCCGTTCCGAGAGAAGACACTTGGATTCTAAAACCCATGTAAGTCTAAAATTAACCATTTTCTCAAATAATTTTCCCAAACGAGATGTTAAAGAGATTGGACGATAGTTTTTTGGGTCACATGATGATACACTATCTTTTGGAATCGGAACGATGATTGCCTTTTTCCAGTTATTTGGGAACGTGTTAGATAGCCAAATTTTATTATAAAATTTTACGAGATTTTCTATGGACTCAAGAGGCAGGTGTTTTAGCATTCCATAAATGATTAAATTATGGCCCGCGGCACTTTCTTTACAAGTGCTTAGGGCATGCTTCATCTCTTCTTTTGTAAACATGGCATTGTAATTTAGGTTCTCATCAATGTTGAAATCTAGACTCTCTCTTTGTATTTTTAGGCTCTGAAAATCTCTATCGTAGTTTTGTGAACTACAGACAGCTTGGAAATGATTAGCAAAGGCTTCACTTATGTCAGGAATTTCTCTGATTAATTCACCATTAACTTTTAAAGCTTCAGGGATTACATGATTATTTTGCCCTGATATGGTTTTTATTTTTCTCCATACCTCAGATGTAGGGGTATCTACAGTTAAGGATGAGACATACTCCTCCCACGATTTTTTCTTGGATTCCTTGATTATAAGTTTAGTTCGGGCTCTGGCTCTTTTAAATATCATTAAATTAGTATCTGTGGGGTATCGTCGGAATTTATTTAATGCCTTTTTCCTAGCAGTTATAGCCTCTCGGACATTTTCGTTCCACCAAGGGACTTCCTTAGATGATTTTCTGGTTGAGGATTTCGGAATGCTTCTTTCTGCAGCTAGCAAAATAGCTTTCGTAATATTATCTGCCGCCACTTCAATATTATAACGATCTGGGTCGGGTATAGAGACACAACTGGAGAATGCTTCCCAATTGGCTTTTCTGGTTAACCATCTCTCCGCAAAAATAAATTCTTGAGGGGAGATGTCAATGCCTATTACTAGTGGGAAATGGTCGCTAGAGTGCAGGTCGTCAATAGGTTCCCATGTAAATCTTGGAGCAATAGTTGGGGATACGAAAGTTAAGTCTATAGCTGAAAAGGAGTTTGATCTTGCATTAAAATAAGTTGATTTGCCATTATTTAAGAGGACTATGTTTTCTTCATCCATAATTGTTTCAACACGTCTGCCACATGTGTCTCTCCTTTGAGAGCACCAAAGTTGGGAGTGTGCATTAAAATCTCCTAAAACGATGACTGGTTCTGGGAGTTGGTTAAATACATTCTTGATTTGATGCACATTCCAGTGAGAATTAGGAAGATATATGTTGCAGATCGTAAGTTTTATTGGGGCTTCAATTTGGATAGCTATGGCTTGCAAGGTGGTATTTAATTGTATTTCTGTTGCAGGTATCGTAACTTTTATAAAGATTGCAACTCCTCCTCTTGCCCTAAAATCAGGCTGTACATCTTTACGGAAGCATTGGAAATTTCTGAAAGTGAAACGTTCATCCGGTTTTAAGTGAGTTTCTTGAATAGCTAAAATAATCGGCGATATCTTACTTTTTATAGATTGTAATTCGGGTAGGTGTAATTTAATTCCATTACAATTCCATTGTAATATATTTGTATGTGTACTACCCATAACTGTGAGTATAGATGGATAATATAAACTATTATCACATTGATCCTGTCTGCTGAGGTAAAGGTACGTAAAGGTACGTAAAGGACGGACATTTTCCAAATTATTTAAACTGTTTTTACGTGATTTTCCTGGAGGCCTGCCTGGGGGCCTGCCTGGAGGCTTGCCACTCTTAGTTTTCTTCTTTCTCTTTGTTTTTTCCTGTGTGCTAGTTTGACTAGAAAAAGATTCCTCATCTGTGGAATCTTCTGATCTATGACGCTTAGATATTTGGGACAGAGATCGATTATCAGAGACTAGTGATTCAGCAACGTTAATTAGTGATTCAGCAATGTTAATTTCTGGTTGTTCTTTCTCAGGCTGAGCTGGAGAAAAAGTAAATTTTTTTTGTAGAGCACTTACTAGTAGGGGAACTAGTTCTTTTAATAATTCTTTTGTATCGATAATTGGGGGGTTAATTATTGTCGGGCGGGGAGTAGTAATCACTTGAGAATAAGATGTATTTCTTTTCGGAATGTGTACAGCTACTTTTTTCTTTGCTTCAAAATATGATAAGTTGTCCTTAATTTTAATTTCTTGGATAGCTACTTCTTGCTTGTACACTGGACAATCTCTCGATCTGGCAGAATGCAGACCATTGCAATTTATACAACTAATTGGAGGTTCACAGGGTTGGCCGGTGTGAAGGGATTTGCCGCAAACACAGACTTGCTCTTTTGTACATCTTATTGCCGCATGTCCAAAAAGTTGGCATCGGAAGCATCTCAAGGGTGCTGGGATATACGGCCGGATTTTTAGTAAATAAAATGCTACATTAATTTCTACCGGAAGTTTAGGTGTATTAAATGTTAGGATATGGCTGGCAGTGTCGGTTAGTACACCGTCTTTTTTTGTTTTAATTCTTTTGACTTCTATCACACCTCGATCTTTTAGTTCTTCCAATATTTCCTCTTCCTTGCAATTTAATAAATCTCTACACGTAACAACTCCACGTGACTGGTTAAGTCTCGAATGAGGTACTACTTCAACTTCTTGATCTAAAATAACATTTAACTTACTTATTGCTCTGGATTGAGCAGCCAAACATGTTTCAATCAAAAGACCTTCTCGTATTTTTTTCAAATTCTTTACTTTGCCCACTTTTCTGTATATAAAGTTACTTAATAAGAAGGGATTCGTTTTAGCGAAATCGCCTTCTTTACCCTTTACGATCAGAAACCGGGGAGCTACCGCCGTCTCCGGATTCGTATTTTTGTTACCTCCTATTTGGGAAGGAGGTGTTCCCGTAAAAGTTTGGTTTTTGCCAGTATTAGTCATTTTATTCCCACGAGCAGGGTAGAACTAAAAGTCCGCCGCAGCAGTGCTCCCTTACTACGGCAAGGCTAGGTACAAGTGAGGGTCGCCTGGTACTCACAGGGAATCATTCGAGACTAACTCTGTATAGCCATGCATCTCTTGGCACGATGTCTTACACCTTAGATTACAGATTTTTTCTAAGGTTTACTACTTAGTGCCAATTTTGGTTCACGCCGATTTCATCGGTACCACCCATATCTGGGTAGCATTCCCCTAAACACCACCTGGGGACGCGCTGGATGGGAGATTGGCAACTCCACACCAGTGTTTTCTTTATTATTAAACAAAATTAAATTTTTTTATAATTTGTGATATATCTAAAAATGAAAAAAAATTTGATGTACAGGGTTCATAATCAGTGGCAGCTTGTCGTAATTTAAAATGGGTGTTCACTTTTTCCAATAATTTCATTATATGTAAGTTCGGATCAAAACTTTGTACAAGAGCCAATATCGCTGTTTTTTTTATAATTTGAGTTTGTATTAAGTGTAGTTATTTTTATCAACATCATACTGTTTTCAACTAAAAGTCATACTGTTTTAAACTATTAATAAATGAATATTTTAGTTAGTGTGATATTTGTTTTGTTTTTAATATGTCGAAAACCATCTATAAACATTATTAGTTAGTAAACTGACTTTTGTGTTTGTGAGCAGCGCACCAATTAATGTGTTCTTTGACAGTTTGCAGGATCTGTTGGCGTGTTGTCTTCTCTTTTTAGCTATATGCATTCGACATATCGTCTCCACTCGTGTTAGGCTCACTCATCATAATGCGCCACAGACACAGTATACTTAGGTATACTGTGACAAAGAGACGCGATCAGCCAGAGGACAATGATGTACAAAAAAATATAGATTAACACGTATGAAAATAAAAATATTAAAATTAAATTTATATTTTTGTTATTTATGTAATATTAAAATAATGTGTTTTTATGAAATTTAACTGGGTGTTCACTGCATAAATGAACCAATGGAGAAACCGCCCCTGTTCATAATATATTACGCCAATTTTGGCGTTTGTTTGTCCTTCTATAATATTCATTTATTTTAAAAGCAAAAACTCTTTTTAAAATCGTTGACATCAAAAAGAGAAAATATGTATTTATATCTCAAAGTTAGCAACAACAAAATATGATAACATCATTCAATGGCAGCCATCATGAAATTTGGACCAATCAAAGCCGGATAATAACAAAACACTAAATTAATTTAATATAATTCAGCAAATGTACTATATGTAAAAAATAAAATGTACTGTTTATCACTAAATAGTAGAAAAAATATATATATTTTGTTGGTGTCACCCTCTACATGAAAAAGCTTTTAACGTATTTCTATTTTTATTGTAATAAAAATAAATGCTGTAGGCTAAAATTAAATATACATTGTTCCCTTTTAGCATTTTTTAACATTTTTTATTTATTTTCGTTTCTTTTCTTAGATTTTTTCAAAAGAGACTGATTCAAATTTTTAAAGTGACTCCAGAGAGGTACGGGTTTAGTCTTTACCTGTACTTACATAAATTTTCTTTTAGTAAAAATAAGAAGTAATCCGTAAAATTGGTGCACAATGAAACCTTTGCATATAATATATATGCCAATCTTAGTATTACAGAAATGATTTACGTAAAACATAAGGTGTATAAATACGTAAAATTTATTTATCCCTTGTAAAACATCAGTAAAAAATATTATAAATTGTTTTCATTCACAAATATTAATTTCTTAAAAATCTAACAGAGGCGCCACTTTCCAGACGAAAAATCTTGCAATGTAAGGGTTTCATAGTACCCCACTTTTAAGGTTTATTTTTGACTATTTTTAAAAAAAAAAATTAGTACCTGTAGGTAAAGGTTAAATCTATGCTACTCTGGAACTACTTTATCAAAATTCTATTTAGTTTTTTTATAAAAACTGAATCAAATTTTAAAAAAGTGTCTCTAAAGGAGCACAGATTTAACCTTTACCTACATGTACATATTTTTTTCTTTTACAAAAAGTCAAAAATAAACTTTAAAAGTGGGGTACTACGAAACCCTTGCATGCTTCGCGCTACAGCCAAGTAAATACTCCTCTTAAGCGAAATAAAAAATAAACGTTAATTTTAAACAAGAAAATTACATTATAAAAAAACGTATTATTTTATTAAATTTTCAACATTCAACTAAAAATAGCAAAAAAAAAATGTACCTTGAATTTTCAACCAATAACGTTTTTTATACCGTACAACGTTAATTTACGTTGAAAAAACGAGTGTCTGCTCATTGGGTTGGTGAGGAACCGATACCGTCATTACTTCTGGAAATGTGAAGTCTAAATTACTTAATATGCTCCTCTCAGCCTTTCATATAGTAAGGCTTTTTCAAAAACGGTTCTTCGCTGATTTGGGTAGTTATCTCGGAATGTGTTTTTATTAAGTATTTTTTCTTTAATGCTAGCTACCAATGTTGCATGTGAAAGGGTAGCATCCGGCGGTATCCAAGGGGCGTTTTTCTGGATTCGCTGTAGACGCTATTTGTTGAAGTAAAACGAAAAGCACCAATAGTCTAATCAACAAGTTCAAACGCGTGTTTTTGGGACATACTATTACGAAAATTATGTTCAATAGCTCATTCGATTCGGAATAATGTCTAGATCAATGTGTGAAGAAAAATTTTGCAGTGGATTAAAAATTGCAGAAGTAATAAACAATTAAACACCTCAAAAACATGGTGTTTGGTTTTTCGCCTATAGTTTGTAAACTATAAATATTTTTGAATTTTTCAAAAAAGATCCTTAAAGAGGAGGAAATTTGCTATAAATAAGTTTCGACTCCCGGAACTGTACCGCCATTATTTATAATTTTAATTTAACGCTCAAAGTAGCCTTCCGCGCGCAATTTTGAGGTTGCGCGCACAGCGTCGAAACCGAGTACGTTACATAAAATAATTTTTTTAAGTTAATAAAATTAAATTCAAAAATTTAAAAAAAATACGGTGTATTCTAAACACTTAGAAGAATTTATTCCCGTTGGAATTTTTCATAAAAATTAATTTTCGAACAAAGTAGGTTATAGTTAATTAACAAAATTTTTAGAATTTCTCTCATCATTACAAATTGATAAAAATATTAAATAATTACCGTAAATTTTTGCTTCGTGGAGCTCTTTTTATATACATATAAAACAAAATAGCTTCATAAAAGTTTAAAAAATGTTAATACTTTGTTTATAATAATTTTTTAAAGTTTACAAAAACAGAAAAGTTGCAGCAGCTGATTCATTTGTTGACTTTACAGTTGATATAACTTTAAAACTATTGGAGATACGACAATAAACATTCAAGTCATTTTTGTAGGCAATGAAATTAATAATAATAATAATATAATAATATATTTATTGCTTTTAAAAACAGATTGTTTTACAGCAAGGGTTTGACATACAAAAGTATACCTGTTTATACAATACACATTAATCACACACCTAATTAGTAATACAAAAACAAAGAAAACAAATAATAAGAGGAAGAAAAGCAAAACAAAAATACATTATTTGGTTTATACCAAAGACATTACAACATATAGACAAAATGTTTCATTCATAAATCCCATACAATTGCGGACTGTTATTGTTTTAAAATTGATAGTGAGTGGAAGAGAGAAAGACAGACCTCTTAGGACCGGCTGGCAACGTTGTAAACAATGTCCATAATATGCTCGCCAGTGGCGTAGAGTTTTAAACTTACCAGTATTGTTAGAGTAGTATGTTAACAAAAATACGTAAATATGTAGGTATATTTTTTAGTAATATAACTATGATGATTTTTTCATGTAGGTAGATTAGATTATGAGTTGGACGTTATTTGTCCTTGTTTACCGCGACCTTTTCAGATCTATTGTGGGACTCCTGTTTGTTTTAGAGTATGTCGTCTAGCTTGGTCTTTTTTATTAGTCTCAGTAGCTTTAACAGTGGCTCCCGCATGTAGTTGCATGCAATTGGCTTTTCTTCGCCCAATGTTAGAAACCTCGTTTCACATTGGCACAGGACGTCAAATATTGTTTCCTCTTCTTCTTCACAGAACCTGCACAAAGTTGCTTCTTCTGCTGGATTTATGACACTCATGTGCCTTTCGAGGCGACAGTGTCCAGTAAGAAGGTCTACTGTTATCCTAACGATTTGACGCTTTTGATCCAGTAGGTCTTTCGTGAACTTGGCCGATGGTTCCTTGATAAACTGTTTGGCCTGTCTCAGTCTTGGATAGTTGTTTCACCATTCCTGAGACTGTTTGCATCCATTGTTTAATGGATGCCTTGCACAATGCCTTAGCAACTCCAAAAGGGTCCGGGGCCTGTCATGGCCTTATCTGAGCCTCCTCGGCCTAATTCGTCGGCCTTTTCGTTGCCCTGATATCCCTCATGGCCTGGAACCCAGGCTAAGGTCACCTTATTTTAACTACTTAGCTCTCTAGACAGTCTTTCACCAGTCGTGATATGATTTCTGGTGAGAGAATTGCCTTCAGAGTATATGACAATAGTTTTGCATGATACTTGCTGATTTTTCATGTAGGTAAATTCAAGTACAAGTAAATTCAAATACAAGCGAATTCAAGTTACCTTTCGATTTTTAATATTTATTAGTTTATAGTTTATTGGCATTTACTATATATTTGCCTGGTATGATGTTAACCAAAATTATTTAAAATTTTAAAATAACATTAAGTAGGTAGGGGTATCTAAATAAAACACTGTCCTAAAAATATATAATTTTTTAATTAATAATTACAAAAAAAACATGGTATGGCAAAAAA